ATAATTGTAGACACCTTAAACAGTGTGGTGGTGGCCCTGGAGGAAAAGATAAACTTTATGGCTATTATGTTGGAGGCTCTTTTGAAGGCATCTATCGTTTTAGCAAGAAGTTTAGAATTGGTTGCAGGAAGGGTAGTGAGTTTTGGAAAGGCCTTTCTTCTAAATTAAGTAAAGTGTATAGAGTTCTATAAGCTGATAGATTTAAAAAAATTAACTTGTTTGGCTATGGAAAAATGAAGTTCGATTAATATCACAGGCAATTGAGAATATCTATCGGTTGACGGTGAACTTGAAAAAGTGGAACAGCTAGCTAGCCTAAAAACCTTGTTGGGTAAAGTTAGTATACATTGATGCCTTAATAAAGGGCTAGTGTGGTGTTTTCCAGGAGTTTAGAGTAGCAGAAAGCTAATCATAACTTCATGACACAAGTATAATAGCACAGTTAGAGTTTTTGGCAATACTTCAGGCACTTAAGTCCTTCAGGGAGCTGTTAAGAGGGATATGGGTGATGCTTTTCATCAACAACAAAGTCACTTTGAAGTTGGTATTGGGCGGAGGCCTAATGGACTTGCATAAGGATATTACTAGAGAAATTTGAATGGAGTGTGTTGAGGCCGATATTGGGATTTTTAGACGAGGTGAGTTCCAAGTGCTCTAAACCCAGCAGATACTTTGATATGAGTGTTGGACCAAGAGGACTGGGTGTTGAGTCTGGAAGTAATGGCACAGCTAGAGCGGGTTTTGAGGTGTTTGAGATAGACAAGTTCGTGAGCCACCTAAACACAAAGACCCGGAAATTCAACAGTCTTTATTTCTGCTCTGAGTCAGAAGTGGTAGACTATTTCACCCAGGACTGGGCCGGGTAAAGAATTATATTTGCTCCCTTTCTGTTTAATTCACAAGGCTCTGAGCCATGCAAGGGAGTGTGGGCATGGATTGTAATTATAGTTCCAGTATAGATTTCAGCCTCTTGGTAACCCCTTGTAGTAAACTCTTCAAGAAGGAAATTGAGTTGACTTCAATAAGCAAGATTGTAGTTCCAGTATGGGTCTTGGCCCCTTGGTGGCCTCTTGTAGTAAACTCTCCAAGGGAGGAAATTGAGTTGACTCCGATAAGTGAAATTGTAGGACCAGGGCCTTCAGGGAACCTGAAGCCATGCAAAAATGACCAATGGTTGTTGAGAGCAATATGGTTGAATTGGTTGAAAAGCTCTTAGTTAGAGCAGTACATTTAATGGATAATTCTATTAGTATGGTATATAAAAAGTGCTTGTTGAAAGCCTGAAGCATTTTTGACAGTTTTGCAAGTTGGATTAGTTTAGTCTCATATTCGGCATCAAGAGATTTGTTGGCAGCTTTTTTTGTCTGGATGGAATTATCAAGTAAGACATCAGAGATTCAAACTTGCTTGGCCACAATAGCAAGAAAGCACAAGGAGAGGGGTTTGGAGAACCCTATGAAAGGTAGTTTAGTTTGTTTAATTGTAGAACAAATTAAAAGGATGGCCACCTAAAAAAAAGTTGAAGCAAATTGGCTATGAAACCCTCTTCCAGTCTCAGTAATTAAGAGGTATATTGACTACTCCTGCCTGGAGTTAGTAAGTCTGTGTGGGTGTGTATTTGGCATTAGTTGCCTTGGGACTAAGGTTATATGTAGGCTAGGTGAGCTTTGCAATCTGAAAAGGTCGTATATTGTTGAAAAGGACAGGAAGTTGTGGGTTAGGGTGTCAAAGTCGAAGACGAATCAGTCAGAAAAAGGCAAATTTATTCTGGTGGAGAGGCCTGTAAGCAGGGTATGCCCGGTACAATTGTTAAGTTACTACTTGAGGTTAAGACTGATTACACCACCAGAGAAACTCCTATTTTTGTCTAGAAATAGGGAGAAGTTATCTGTGGCAGTAGTTTCAGCAATAGTGAAGCATTTTGCAGATAATGCTAAGCTGCACAGGAGATACAGAGCCAATAGCCTAAGAATTGGCAGTGCAACTGTGGCTATGAAGGTATATTGATAGAGCAAATTCAGTCTATTGGCAGTTGGTCTTGGGAGCAGTTTAGATTTATATAAGAGCAATCAGTACTGCTAAGTTGGGGGCCTCTAGACTAATGGGCTTTGTGTAGGACTAAGAAAATGTAACATACGCCCAGCCCTTTTTATCGATACTCTACAAAACCCATAGCTGTTTTTCATTTTGTTTTCTGTTTTGTTTTTCATTTTGCTTCTTTCTTGCTTTCACTTTGTTTTTTGACCTATAACACCCTCCTCAATGAGGGACAAAATTAGCTACCTGATACAAATGTATTAGAGCAGTATTTTGTCTCGAATTGATCACAGGTGTATGATTAGCAGAAGTACCATGATTTGTCATGTGACTTACATCATTTGAGGCTTTGCAGTGATTTATTGTATAATTTTGATTAATGCATTATTGTAATTTGTTGTATGATTTATATTTGATTGTTTAACATATTGATATAGTATTTGCGATTAGTAATTGGTAGTAGTATTTAGAGGAAACTGATCTTTTCCCATGAAAGGTATCTTATGTTTTTCTGCTAACTGACTTTGTCTGGTTTTTTTGCCCACCTTACCCAGCCCTTGTAACTTATTGTAGCAACGTTTATCGTTTTCTGTCATTTTTTGTCATTTTGTTAAAGTTGTGGATGACAGTTACAAAGTTTGTTCTGTTTTTGTATATGTTGAAGCGATCTGTCTAGACAACAGGCATGAAAAAACTTCCTTATATGTTTTGTGTAAGTGGAGACCTGTTGGGGTGATGGTCACTGAGAATTATTTTCTTGAGAAGCCAGTCAGCTCTGGAACAGATTCTTTCGATACTTTTGAGTTTTGCACTTTTGGCAGCATAGCCAGTATAGCACGTGTGCTGAAAAGACAGATAACCCATAGCTGTTTTTATTTTGTTTTCTATTTTGTTTTTTATTTTGTTTCTTTCTTGCTTTTACTTTGTTTTTCGACCTGTAACACCCCTCCTCAATGAGGGACAAAACCATATAACATTATGTATATGTACACACATATCTCAGAGCAACATTAATACTATATCTGGTATATTTCATATACAAATTGTAGTGGTATGTTTAGGGATGGGCAACACGCAGGATCCGCGCGTGATGTGCAGGATTCAAAAAATCGCATGCAGGATTTTTAATATAAGATTATCTGGCCTGTGTTAGCACATTGCCTGCATTAACATAAGTGGGCCAATTTCTAATTAGTAAGAGAAGTGTCAGATATCAGATGATATCGTAGGGTGGGGAGGTAAACAAAATCTCAGGTCTAAATATATACTTATAATCAATCAGAATGACTAAACTTCTTAGTAGAGGGGAGGGGGTAAGCTCTATAGTAAACTAATCTCAGCTAATATCTGACACGTCCCTAAGCATATTACATTAACTGTATTTTATACTTAATTTTTATTTTATTAAATATTTTTATAAGTATTATTAATTAGTTAATTAATTAATTAATTAATTTAATCTTTAACTTATAAAATAACAAGAAATTATATCACAGTGATGATCTTTATATATATTTTTATTATTCGTGAGAAATTCAAAACTCTACTCAATTCTGCAAATCCCGAGCAGATCCCGCGTGTGATCCCGCATCCCGCGTGAGATTTTTTAAAAAACTGCAATTTGCCCATCACTAGATATGTTACACCAGCACAGCACATTAACATTGAAATCATAGATTTTAATGCCCAACCAACTGCAAGATTTTGATGAACTTGCCATTCTAGATGGCAGGAAGCTATACACTCCGTGATGCAATCATTTGGATCAAATTTTGATTGGCTATTTTTGTTGTGCAATTCACATGATGGAAATTTTGCATAACCTAATGGCCAAGAATTTGAAAGTCATTTGATCTCCATTTATATTGCGTTAGGTCGAAAGGGTCGACTGGGGTGGCATTAGCAATAGTGGGGTGGAAATAGCAATTCTCTATTAATGACTCATTACAGTAATTACCTAAAAATTCTGTCCCATCACTAATTGGAGGCACTCAAATGAAAACTCAAATATATAGTAACAGGTTACAATCGAGAATATAATGTGTTTGGAATTTCATAAATTGATCAAATCTATGTCAGGGTTATAGTAAAAATTAATACAATCTAAATTTTGTAACTTATTATGTAGAATCTCTATAGCAATAGTTTTTTTTTTATTAATTGCAATATATAATAATTGTAACAGACAAAAATTTTTGACCTTTTGATATAATGGTTTCATATTAAATCTTCATTATTGTGTGTATTCTTTTTAAATGAAGAGTCGTCAAACAAAAAGTAATATAGTGAGATTGAAAATTGGTATACAAAATTAATTATAGCATGTTATTTTGCAACAACTTATTCAGTAAAATAATTTTATCAGACATTACTAATCAACGACATTCCATGTTAAATTAATTTTTATTACCAATTTTTTAATCCCACTATGCTACGTTTTGATTGACTCTTGAAATAATCTATATAAAAACCACAATACATGGTTATCTTAAGTAATATTAATGACTTTTAAAATCTCAATGTACCAAGAGTTTACCATAATTAAATTTACATAATGTATACAGTCAAACTTCTCTATAGTCACCTCCTATATAAGAACATTTTTCTTTATACGTATATTTTCTTTATAAGTATATTTTTTTAAAAACAAACTATTATTAAATATAATAAATTTGACCTCTATAATTGCCACATTTTTCTACAATCACACATTTTTATCCCAAGTGTGTGACTATAGAGAGGTTTGACTGTATTTTGATTGATAATAATACAATATTTTTTATTATTAGAAAAGTTACTCTTTAATTCTTATTGTTTGTTTGAATAACGCTAGCTATAGAAACTACAAAAAATTATGAACTCTCTAATAATGCAACCTGAGTATTTAATACTTTTGAAAAATAAAATTATGCTAGAAATTTTTAAAAACAAATTGTCGGAATTATAAAATGTTTTTGAGAATATCAAATTATAAAGATAGCTTTTTCATCTGGGAAACCAATCTTGTTTAAAGCTATTCTAATATTTTCCATCATAGCAGGAGGACCACAAACTATAACTCTTAATTGATGTATAGTATCATTCGCTAAAAGTTTCATGAATTCATGTCTTTCATTAAGAAGGATCATTGCATTTGTCGGAGGATAAATAGGTATTTTTAAGTCAGGAATTGGAGTTGCAGTTGAAGATACAGACAGTGGAGATCCAGGTTGATCGATAGATGTTGGTGACATGGTAAGTATATAATCATCAGATTGATTAATAGAATCATCAACATAAATTTCATCAGTCTGTATGTGTGTAAGTGATTGATTTGGCAGTAATTGCATAATATTTGGTCTTTCCGGAATTTTAGGTGGTTGTAGAGGTTGATAATTCTTACTAATCCACTCATATAATAAATTATCATCAATAGTTCCTACATAACCTTTCCATGTTGGTGGTGCTCTTGATAAAATAAACTCTACAGTAAATTTTCCTTCGCTATTATCTTGAAGATATAAAAGATATTTAAGGCTAATTATATCAGCAATCGAATGATTGGCTGTGATTAAATGAATATGGAATTTTGAATCTTTTTGTTCTAAATGATATTGAATCTATTTCAGAATAAAATAATATTTTAGTAATATAAATTGTTTTCAAAAAGACATAATTAATTAAAGGCTCACCAGTTGAAGTGCAGGGGTTATGCCTGTTTAAAGCAAAAATAATATTTAAAATTAGTGAGCCATAATAACTAGAATAATTCGAGTGATAATAAATCGTAATAATAACATAGTAGTATACCTGTACCACCACAAACGAGGAAAAGGTAATCCCAACATTTATCTTCCCTAGCACTATTTAATAAAATTCTACTAGATGGAGCTCTATAATTGTTATCATCACTGGAAACACTTCCATATCTACTATAAGCTGTATTTGATTTTGTATATCTACGGCTAGATGAATGGCCAGATGTACTCATAATACTTGCACGTAGTCTACGTCGTAAACCTGCTTCAGAAGAAGAAGGTAATTCAACCTGTTCAATTCGTTCTGATACATCAAATGGACCTCTAACTGCAATCTCAAAATTTCTTAGTTGTTTACCCTAAACAAATATTTATAAAAATTATGATAAACAGATTACAGATATAAAAAAAATATAAATAAATATATAATGGCAAATTTACCAAATGTTGAGACATAACACCATCTTTATAAATTTTGACAATGATCGAGAAAGTAGTATTAGAAGGTCCTTTGAGAAGAGTATACGGTCTGACAATAGTTGTTTTATTTGTATAGCTCATGACTTCAATATAATCACCAGGTAATATTTCAGGTAATTTTTCATATGGATGGATAACTTGAAAAGTAAATTTCTTTACAGGATTTTCAGCATCATATCTTGTAACATCTTCAATATTTGTAAGAATATATCTTCTAAATATGTCAGGTGAAATTCTGGATTTACTAGGTGTTAAATATGGTAATATTCCATCAACAGCCGGTCTTGAAACATTTTCATCATCATAACCAGAAATGCGTGCTATTACATACAAATTAAAAAATATATATATTTATATGCATTTATATTTATAAGTAAATTTATATAAAGAAATTTTTTTTACCAATAACCATAGTGGCCAATTTAGCGGTTGCAAATTTAGAATGCCTATGCATTGCGACTCTAGTATTTTTAAAAGTGACACTATTAAGTATATCAATTGATCTTGCAATAGAACTTGGAACACCAGAACTGGGTTTATTATGTTTTAACTGAACGGTTGGATATTCTGTAGTATCAATAGTATTTGATTGTAATAGTTCATGTTCTTTATCAAAGTTTCTTGAGATAACCATTTGCACATTTGGATCAAAAAAGAAGTCATTAGTAATATCTGTTCCGATCTTTAAAAATATTTATGGTTAGAAATATAATAAGAATTACTGTATTTAAAAATATATATATATACCACTCTGCGTAAAATTTTTTGACCACCGGGATGAATTTTGATCCAACTATGAATATCGAAAACCAGTCCTTCAGCGACGACAAGGCAAGCACCAGACAAAACTTTTTCATTAAATTCCTAAAAAAAAAAACCATTAAACTATTGAGAAATACTGAAAATCTGCATTCATGGCAATAAATATGTTATACATACACTCCATGTATAAGCAGGAAGTAATTCATAAACTTTTTCAGGAATTCTTCTATGAATTCGTAAATTTGTATCATTCATCATTCGAGTTGGCCATAAAAATTGTAAATTCTTAATCTTGTAATAAAATTCGCTTGCCAAAAAGATCATGGCCAACAAAACTATAATAAAATATAATAAAAGATATAAATAAAATATATTAATTAATATCAAAAAAAATAAATATATTATATAAAATATTGAACTTTAAATATAATCAAGTACCAAACCAAGTCATATATAAATAAGTCACAATTTGCGTGTTAACATTATAATTTACACCATATTGAACCATTCCAAGATATACATTAATCCTATTTTGCAATTAAGCAGGATTAGATTAACAAATCTTAATAAAAAATTTTGATATAAAGATTATTACAATTATAACATTACCATGCACAGGACATCAATATTGCGCCAAAATAAAAATGAGCATGCTTTAACCCACGTACTATTCCAGTTGCTAAATAAATGATATAATTAAAAAAATATATCAAAAAAAAAAAAAAAAAGAATTATGAACTGTTATTATATCTTACAAGCAGATTCAACATGTGCTAAACCAAATATTGCCAACAATCCTAGCGCTACTTGAACAATTAAACCAGTATAGATTGAAGTACCAAGACTGAATACAAAATTAAAAGGTGATTTTAATAAAATTATATATAGCAACATGAAGGTAAGGTTTAATAATAAATATAATACGTACATTCCATGGGGGACTCTGAACTGTACAGTAACTGAAGACATTGCTACAGCACCAAAGATTCCAACACAGAAAGCACCAACAATTTGAAGATTTCGATGCTAATAATGAGTGAGCACATGTGAATTATTTTTTTGCTCATTAGTAAACTGGATAAAAGAAAATTATGTCATTAAAATAAACCAATAACTAAAGCTACATACTTGAAACATATGTGAATCCCTATGTCTCATATACCTAACGATCCATATTGACACTTTATTTAAGTAAAGAAAAATGTAAGTTGCCATTAAATTTTAAAACTAATTATCGTTTTTTGTAAGTACCTGGGAATAAGACACTGTAAAGGAAAAATGTAATAATTAGAATTAAAATCTGTAGTGTGAAGGTAATGAAGGAAAAAAATATATATTATACAGTATATTTGCATACCACCATATTGTAAACATGCCAGTTCCATGGGCCAATTGCATTTTTCTGGATTGCTCAGTTAAAGAACCAGCAGTTGACGCAGTGAAAAAGTTAACGCTCATAGACCCACGATTTCCACCATGGTAAGTTAGTATACTGACTGACGGATTGAAGGCATAAATTGCTATAAAGATAATTCAAACAACGATTCAAAAAGTAATTTGAAAGATAATGTAAAAGATAATTCAAAAAAAATCAAAGGCAATTCGTGAAAAGAGTATTAAAATGATAAATAAATAGCTTACTTGTTGTTAAAGAATTAGTAATAGGTTTTCGGTTTGGAGCATTAAGGGGGCGTTTCACTTCTACCTGAGTGTACCCATTAGTTACATTTTTTCCTAAGACAGTAAGGAAAGTACTATTTAAATCACGATCAGGTTTCTGATAAGCAGTGGGCATATAAAGACCAACATCTATCATAGAGCTGTTGACAGTTACGATTATCATATCAGCAAACTACAATCAAGTACAATAAAGTTTTAAGTACGTGAATCATAAAATTATTTAATGATATCAAGTAATAATATATACATACCAACATGCCACCATCCAACGAATTGAATCCAATACCAAACCAGGCATTTGCACTTTGCATTGTCATAAATAAATAAAGATCAGAACCATCAATCCTCCATTGTACTTGATATGTATTGGAAAATTTTAAGATATTAAATGGAGAATAAGAAGAATTTGGAGCGGTGGCATTAGGTGCAACGACTGGTTGAACCACCCATAAATTTGTTGGTGTTGAATATGTACTTGGAATGTTTCTATTAATCACCATGGCTAAAGTCGTGTTGTGAATGGTATTTATTTCATCAGAAGTAAATCCTCCACCTGGTGATTCATACCTATTATTTCATGTAAACAAATAAAAATTTTAAAAAGAAAAAATGAAACAAATTAAAAGCTACAATATTATTAAAAAAAAGTTACCAACCAAAATCTATCAAAATCTCGTATGTTTGTCCACTAAATAAAAAGATATTATAATTATTATTTTATTCTTAAGAAAATTATATAGTAAAAATCATAAATCAAATACCTGATTAATATAACTATGATAAAATAAAGGGCCAAGATTTGAACCAGGGACATGATCTTCAGCAAGGCCCCCAACAAATGATTCAACTTGATCAACAGTACCATAAACATTCCGTAAACGACTTTGCACAGCGGGATCAGATGAAATGTCAGACCAATCTTGAGCCCGAGTTAAACCAAAATATTGTCTTGCGTCATTATATTTTGGGATTCCATGATCACGCCCTCTCATACAATCAAGACTATTTATTATTAAATTTTATAAATACTGATCAATTAATAGTTTCTATATTTATCAAATTTGGTTTAAAAAAGATGAGGATCTAAAGATTAATCACCTCGCTATGTCCATTAATTCGGATTTAAAAAGATAATATCGCATCTGGTCACTAATATATATATCAACTTCTTCTTGCCTATAAAAATGTAACAGTATGGTTATCTTATTATGTAAACTTATATAGAATGTTATGGAACGTGCTAATTACATTTGAAGAGCCATCGATACTACAAGATTAGGAATACCATACAATTCGCTATAATTAACGATGTTAAAATAAGAAATAATATAACATAGAAACTACTAGAACACAATCATAATTATTATAATTATTTACAGTAAATGAGGTTGTTGAAGTGAATTTAATTGTAAAGTAGTAATAAAATGTCCTTTGTCATCAACAATTGCGTAATTATCACTTGAAAAGAAAAAGGAAAAAATAATAACATTATTATTAGAAAAGTTATTTCAAAACTGTAACAATAAGATATGATACTTACCTAACTTCGCTATGACCATAACGCATTGAAGTCTAATTTTATAACAACAAAACATCAGACAAGACACCTGACAAGGTGACAAAGATAAATCTAAAAAGCGAGAACTTACTGTCGCAAAGAAAGTGTCAACAGCCGGTTTAAGATCCGCATTGTAACTTTTATAAACTGGTAAAGGAGTTCCTAAAAGGATACTAACTAATTAAATTGATATAAAGATAATAATTAGATTATTATTAAAAATAAAGAAAAATAAATATGTATTAATTAATAATGCATGCCATATTCATAATAAGTTATCTTTTGTAGGAGCGCAATAACCCATCTTCTTGCTTCTTGAAAATAAGTTTCATCATTCCAAGAGTTACCATGAATCGCATATAATTCATCACATCGTCTATTATGTTCGCGTAAAAAAATAACGAAAAAAACATCTACAATTACATAAGCATTAGATGAACTTGAATAGTTTTTAAATGCATGATATACAGTATTTACCTGTAAAAACATTTCTTCCTTTAAGCGAAGTTAACCTATCATTTTTTTAAATAATTTATATATTTATCATCATTTTACTGCGGATTATTGATATTTATTAAATTTTATTAAATTTTCACAAACCATACCCAAAAATGTATTCTCCATTTGCATCCTGTTTGGTGAACAATGAAATGGCCAATTTTACTTTAGTTTCTAAGCTTAACTTTTTTAATCTAATACAAAAAAAAAAAAAAGATAATGTTTACCTTAGGTGGGTACCCTAGTTTACCATCCTCCGTTTGATTTGATGTAACTAGTCTCATTTTTCCTCTGCTACCAGTATCAGTATCACGAATTAAAGAAGTTTGAGCATCTGTTACTCCATAGAGATGAGACCCGTCGAGAAAAGGTGTACCCGCGTTAATTCCGACATTTCCAGAGCCTTGGGAGCGGTTGAATGCTAAATATGGCTATCAATAAAATAAATTACATGTATATATTTTTTTTAAATATCATCAGATCTTGTATTATCTAAAATCTAGTAATGTTTAATATCTTACTTGATTCATTGTAACATTTGGTCCGACTATATAGTTGGACTGATAGGTGCTATCATCAGTGGGAATATAGATCCCTTGTGGAAAATTTTGACCATTTTCTGGACCAACGCTAACCTAATTAGTAATTTAATGAGTTTATTTGTTTCAATAATTCATTAACGTTAACGTTAAATGATGTAAATGATGGAATCAAATTGATAAATTTGATAAACACATACATCCATCTTGATGAACAGTCCCCTATAATAATAAATACCATACCAATTATGGTTAATGCATATTACGATAAATGAGATAAATGAAATGCTTTATACTAATTAGTCTACTCACCAATAAGTCAGCTAACATATTTTAAAAGACAAAATATAAAATTATTTATTATCCGTTTATCATTACTACAGTAAATAATTATATGATCTTACTATATGAGAAATACTTCTTTTCGATTTAAATTGCTCCAAATACGTTAAATTAAAAACATCATTCGCTTTTAATCGATATGAATGAAGGACATTACTGACGCATCTAGGTAGTGGAAGGTTACCAGCTGGTAACCTGTCAGCACAACTTACAGCCGTTGTAAGTGTTGTATAATTTCCTGGAGTAGATACCATAATTGCAACATTATCTTGGAAATATGTTAGAGGTACTTGTTGCCGTACAAATGGCATATTTACCACCCCTATAGTATCTTTATCATTATTGGTTCCATTTAATGTTCGGTATTCACTTAAAACTACATTTTCAAAGGCAAGAACATAAATTAAGACGAGTATGACTCTAGATCTTATTTTGTACGCGATCATGTTTACGCATTTGAGCCGAAAAAACAGTGCGAAATGAAGTATGCGTGAATCAATATTTATATGCATGCTCTAAGGTATGTAAATTAAACTTTAAAAATACAGTATTGGACTTCTAATTCTGTAAACTGTGAGAATATCTTCTCTAATTCAGATGTCTATGTTTACAATATTTACATGTTTATATAAATAATAAACATTATTTCTGTGGTAGATCTATAAATACTACATTACTTAAAATAGAGATTAATAACGTTAATCCCGGCCTGCGTTACACTTAACGTGAGCCAAACGAATTCTAAATAACCAAAAACATGTATCATTTAAGTTAATTTGAAAAAATCCGTAAATATTAAATAATTACAACCTGGTATTCTTTTTACTTACGTACACAATCACGTTTTTGTTTATGTTTGTTATTTTTATATTTTTCTATGTCCCATTTACTATTTATATTTGCGAATTTAATACTTTATTAAGATAAAATTTTGACCAATTAAGACATTTATGAAACAACAAACTCCGTTTGATCACATTGTCTAAATTTATAATTTTTGTTACACATAAACTGATACAAAATAACAAAATTTAATATACACTAAATAAGCATTGTTCTTCTGCCCTATATTTTCTTTTTTTTCTCAATTAGCAAGAATACATAATTTACGGTAGTCGGAATTAAAAAAAAAAAAAGGTAACCCTATTCTAATTTTATTTTGCATACAGAAGAGAGCATCTCCAATTTGGAATTTTAACTCCTATTTCGATGTTTTCTTTAGAATTACCTTTGTTTAGAGAGAAGTCGCCTTATCGTTGTACAGCACATCGTTAATAACTTGATTGAATTTTGGAATTAACCAATTTAATGCTATAAATACTAAACTAAATATAATGATAGAAAACTATAATTACGGGAATAGGAAAATGCATGATGTATGAGCTTCTTTCCATCACATGGTGAGTGCAGAGTCGGCATAAGTTAGCCTATTAATGCATGTGAGTAGTATTCAAGATTTCTACGTATATCGATATATGTTCTGTTGTGTAATCCAAAATGAAATTTTATCTATTTTAGTTAGGAGATTGCCGTAAATATTAAGCTTTTATATAGACGTATATAGTTGTTCATATTTTAAAAATAACCTACGTACGTACGTTACTTTGCAGTCGATGAAATCGGTTAGCAATAGTGCATATTCTCTCTATATCATTTCTCGTTATTTTCAATTTTCGCCGATTTGCTGAGTTGGAGGTCGTCTAAGGCAGGTGGTTTTTTAATTGATTACTAACAAATTTGTAAATTAAAATCAACGTTTACCTCATTTGGACAAGGAAATTTAATCTCCTCAGGTTAGAGTACATAATATAATTACGTATTGTATTATCGCTCTTTTACGATTTAGTTGGATCGACAAACTGCATAATGTTTTTTTGAGTTCCATGAGTCTGTGAATACTAGCGCTAGATAATAACAGTAGGAACCGTCTAAATATAGATATGATTTTCATTCTCCGTTACACAGATCACTCTTGTATCGACCAGTCAAATATCACAACGGGATTAGTCAACCAATCAAATTGCGAAATTTACAAAAAGACGAAACCGTTGGATTCAAGTGGATTCAAAAAATATGTTGTAAAGCAAAGTGAGAGCTTCATGTTTGTTTAAAAATTTTCAATATTCATATAAAAGATAAGTCAAGCGAGCCTTCCAAAAAAGTATTGTAAAATAATATAAAAAAAATTTTTATCAATTGTGTAACGATTTTATGACGTTTCAACGGTTCCCCCTGTTACTTTATGTTCGTCGTATTTATTTACCAAAAAAGGGAAATATAGAATGAGTCTCACAATATATGACGAAGAGGAAAAGAGCGATAAATCAATAAAGATAAATACAATAAGTACTTCTTTTATAATGCATATTTCTTTTTTTTTCTCTTGTAGTATTTTTTTATACCCGTAAAACTTTAATCAAATATTAGAAACTTAAAGATTGATGGATAGAATTCTTTACGAAAAGTTCCTAGACGTTTTTTTAAAAAATGGATACGTATTATTTCACCGACAATCACTTCACAGAAAGCTCAATTAATTCACAGACAAGTTAATTTCACCGACAATTATTTCACTGGCAGCTCATCTCACCGACAAGTATTTTTTATAAATTACACTAACCTTAACTCTAATTCTAACCTGACACTAACAACAATGTGAATTAATTGTCGGTGAACTAAGTTGTCGGTGAAGTGAATGTCAGCGAAATGCGCACCCAAAAAAAAATCCATACCTTCAATGAAACTCAATATTCAAACTCATAATATTCAGGGAACGCCCATTTTTTAAGCAAAAAAAAAAAAATGCAAAAAATTTGATTTGAATAATATTTATTTGACTTCAACATCTTCAAAACAACCTCTAGTCTACAACTAACATTCTTCAACACTCTCACCCTATTGTTGATAGTCCTAATAAACACACTACTACTTTAAAAATTGAGTGTTAGTTTATAGCGACCGTCGCCATAGCGACCCGTGATCGCCAATCAATTCAGTCACATGACACCATATATTTTTATTATTAATAAAAAAAAATACAAAAAAATACAAAAAAAAATAAAAAAAAATTACAAAAAAAAAATTACAAAGATATAACATAAACTCGAAAATTAATTTCACCAATTCACCACCAATAGTGACGAAACTACTAACTATCATGCTACACATCCCATACTATCTTCCTATGTCCTGAACTGTCTATTGTGCTATATACGTTCTACTATCATGCTACGTTCGTTCTATTCATTTTAAATAAAAAAAAATTTAGTACCTTATAAAAAAAAAAAAAGAAAAAATACTATAATATACTAACTATCGTGTCTCATCCATTCTAACTATCACACTATGTTCTGTACTACGTTCGTTCTAATGAAAAAAAACGTTAGTACTTAATATATATATATATAAATGTTCGTTCTAGTACTGTAAAAAAAAAAGAATACTATGTATACTATCCTTATGTTTATCCTTTTCAACTCCACTTCCATAACGATAACAATATCCAACACTATTTAAAAAAAAAACTAACTACAACCTGCCAAAAACGACAAAAACGTACTGGAGAAAATGTAGAACTTACTGAATTGGCCAATGCCTTTATACTGGATCACGCTATGTTCTGTACTACGTTTGTTCTAATATATATATATAAAAAAAAAGAAAAAACCGTTAGTACTACAGTAAAAAAAAAGAATACTACGTATACTGGCCTTATGTTTATCCTTTTCAACTCCATTTCCATAACGACAACAATATCCAACACTATTTAAAAAAAAAACCAACTACAACTCGCCAAAACCGACGAAAACGTACTGGAGAAAATGAAGAACTTGCTGAATCGGCCAATACCTTTATACCGGATCACGCTATGTTCCGTACTATGTTTGTTCTAATATATATATATATATATAAAAGAAAATAACCGTTAGTACTACTGTAAAAGAAAAAGAATACTACATATACTGGCCTTATGTTTATCCTTTTCAACTCCACTTCCATAACGACAACAATATCCAACACTATTTAAAAAAAAACCAACTACAATCCACCAAAAACGATGAAAACGTATCAGAGAAAATGAAGAACTTGCTGAATCGGCTAATACCTTTATATCGGATCACACTATGTTCTATACTATGTTTGTTCTAATATAAATAAAAAAAAAAAAAACCTCGTTAGTACTACTGTAAAAAAAAAAAGAATACTACGTATACTGGCTTATGTTCATCCTTTTCAACTCCCCTTCCATAATGACAACAATATCCAACACTATTTAAAAAAAAAACCAACTACAACCCGCCAAACCCGACGAAAACGTACTGGAGAAAATGAAGAACTTGCTGAATCGGCCAATACCTTTATACCAGATCACGCTATGTTCCATACTACGTTTGTTTTAATATATATATAAAAAAAAAACCCCCCATTAGTACTACTGTAAAAAAAAAAAGAATACTACGTATACTGGCTTTATGTTTATCCTTTTCAACTTCCCTTCCATAATAACAACAGTATCCAACACTATTTTTAAAAAAAAAACCAACTACAACCCGCCAAAACCAATGAAAATGTACTGGAAAAAATGAAGAACTTGCTGAATCGGCCAATACCTTTATACCGAATTGCGCTATGTTCTGTACTACGTTTGTTCTAATATATATATATATATATAAAAGAAAAAACCCGTTAGTACTACTGTAAAAAAAAAAAGAATACTATGTATACTGGCCTTATGTCATAGGACGACATTCGTATGATTGGTAGATCTACCCGTGATTTCCCGTGATAATTAACCAATCAAATCAATCAAAA